CAAGTGCAATCCCTGGATTTCCCGAGCTTTTTCCTAGGGTGGGTGGAGCCTCCAATATCCCGATCAGTCACCCCAATACCCCACTCGAATATCCTACTATCTTGGCCCACTTTGTTGGAACACCTTCTGAGGTTCGCCCCCAGGTGTTAGCTTCAGGAGCGACTTCAAGTATCTTCACTGCTCCGCCATGCTCATCTACTACACATCCTACACTGCCCAAGCCCAACTTTGACCCATCATCCTTCGCCTTCCAAACATCATCTTTCCCACTGGAACCTGCACAGTTTCCCACCTATACTTACTCTCAACCACCCCGGTATGAGTTCACCGCAGGGCAAGAAAAGACCACCAAAACTGCTGAGCAAGAAGAGATTGCAAGAAAGATGAGGAGTATGGAACAAAATCTCAAAAGCATACAAGGCTTGAGTGGACAGAAAAGTGTGTCCTATGCCGACTTATGTATGTTCCCTCATGTACATCTACCATTGGGATTCAAAACCCCAAAATTTGAGAAGTATGATGGGCACAACGATCCTACTGCTCATCTCAAGAGGTATTGCAACCAGCTGCGAGGAGTCGGTGGAAAGGAAGAACTCCTCATGGCCTATTTCGGAGAAAGTCTGGTGGGCCTCGCATCTGAGTGGTACATGGACCAAGATATTTCCCGCTGGCACATCTGGGATGATCTTGCTAGATATTTCGTCAGGCAGTTCCAGTACAACATTGATATTGCTCCAGATCGGAACTCCTTGACAAACCTGAAGAAGAAATCCTCGGAAAGCTTCCAAGAGTACGCAATTAAGTGGCGTGAGCAGGACTCCAGGGTAAAGCCTCCGATGGATGAGGTTGAAATGGTCACAGTTTTCCTCCAAGCTCAGGAAGCTGACTACTTCCAAAATATGATGTCCGCAATGGGCAAACCGTTCGCTAAAGCTATCAAGATTGGCGAAATGGTTGAAAACGGGTTGAAAACGGGTCGAATTCTAAGCCAATCTGCTATCAGAGCCATCTCCTAGGCCATTCAGGGTGGATCTGGAGGAGTAGCAAAGGGCAAGAAAAAGGAAGAAACATCCATGGCAGCATCGGTTGCAAGAAAACACCGTACTCCCAGATCCCTTTTCACAGAAAGAAGCCCACAACACTATTACCCCCACCAAGATGTGGCTTATGCTCCTCATCCATTCCCGGTCATGAATGCTCAACCTTATATCCGGCCACAACAACAAGCCAATCGGAACCAAGCTCCATTTCCCAGAAACCAGCCTCCTTACCAAGCCCACTACAATCCCCGACCTCCACAAAACAACTTCCGTGCCCGGGAGCCACCAAGGAAATCAAACTTCACTCCAATTGGCGAGTCTTATTCTAGCCTATTCCCAAAATTGGTCCAAATGGGTTTGTTGCAGCCCGTACCCCCGAATAGGCAAAACCCAGAATCACCCTCTTACTAACGTGGCACCCGATGCGCTTATCACTCAGGGGTTGAGGGGCATGATACAGAAAATTGTTGGACTTTGAAAAGAGCTGTGGAAGATTTGATATAACAAAGGAAGATAGTGCTAAGGGATGAAGATATTCCCAATGTGACTAACAACCCACTACCGGCCCACAACAACGGGCCAGTAATCGGAATAATTTGTGAGGATAAGGAATTTGACCCAGCGTTGAAGGCCATCATTGCCATCGCTGATGTAAAAAAGAAATCAAAAACTGCCCCAAAGCAAGACAAAGGTGAGAAAAAGAACAAAACTACCCCTCCAAAGTCAGAGAAGAAAATTGAAGTTGAAACTGGGGCAACGCCTCCCAAAGATGTTGTTCTCTATGTCCCTCGAGGCTGCAAAGAAAAGCAGATGACTTTGAGTCCTCCCAGGAGATTGGAACTGAACAAGACAACCCAAATATATGTGCCCAAGGGAGCTTATGTGATGTTGGGGCCAATTAATCCACCAAGGCTGAGTGAGCCCGTAGTTATTCGTCGCGCGCCACAGAAGCCCATGACAAATCTTGCAGCTGTGCCATGGAATTACAACAAATCGGTGGTGACCTTTAATGGCAAAGAAATCTCAGGAAAAGTTCAAGAAAATAACCCGGTTGAAAAGTATTTCAATTTGGAAGAGGTGAACAACGCCACTAGAAAGCGCTTCCCATCTAAGAAGCCCGTGAGTGCCGAAGAAGCGGACGCCTTCTTTCAAAAGATGAAAATGGCAGATTATGAGGTGATCGACCAGCTTCGAAAATCTTCCGCACAAGTCTCCTTGCTATCTCTGTTGATGAACTCCACTGAACATCAAAAGGTATTGATCAAGACCCTTAACGAAGCATATGTGCCTGTTGAGACTTCTGTAGAGCAGTTGGAGAGAATGGCAGAAAGATTTTTTGCAATCAACCTGATCTCCTTCACCAAAAATGACTTGCCCCCAGAAGGGGCCGCACATAACAAAACCCTGCACCTGACAGTCAAATGTGAAGGGTACTACGTGAAAAGGGTTATGTTGGACAGAGGTTCTGGGGTAGACATTTGCCCACTCTCAACTCTACAGCGTATGGAAATCGGTACCGAAAGAATCCGACCCAACAATGTGTGTGTACGTGACTTTGATAGTATCAAAAGGGACACAATTGGAGAGATTGATCTAATTTTGATCATCGGCCCAGTAGACTTTGAAGTAACCTTCCAGGTTCTGGACATGGACACATCCTACAACTTTCTTTTGGGGAGGCCGTGGATTCATGCAGCGGGGGCTGTACCCTCTACTCTTCACCAGATGGTGAAGTTTGAGCATAAGGATCAAGAGATTGTGGTCCACGGGGAAGATGAGCAATCAATTTATCGGGACCCATCAGTCCCATGTCTTGAAGCAAGAGAGAGGAGTGAGCACATAGTCTATCAAGCCTTTGAAATTGTGGTCGCAGACCAGTGCGAAGAAGGAAACCCTTGCCCCCAACCCTTCCTTTCTAACACATCAATCATGGTGGCCAAAGAAATGATCAGACATGGCTACAAACTTAGGAAAGGGCTTGGGAAATCATTGCAAGGAATAGCTGAACCTATCACCCTGACCGCCAGTGAAAAGTTCTTTGGGGTAGGCTTCCGACCCACTCCAGCTGATATAAGATGGGCAAATGATAGAAAGAATGATGGTTGGGTCTTGCCTCAGCCGGTGCCGCATCTGTACAGAACATTTGTCAAGCCAAAATACAATGAGGAAAAGGAAGATGAGGCCTTTACGGTCGAAGAGATTGAAGAGATCTGTGGGGCAATGAGAAAGATACTATATGAAACCCACATGGTCCAGCTAGGGGAAGGCTCAATCACCGCTGAAGTGCTGTATATGGGACTTAATGCCAAACTGCAGAATTGGAAGGCTACGCCATTCCCAATTAGGCGGAAGTCCCGATAGACCTGTCCTGCCACCTTTTCTGCATCACGAGTTATTTCAGGGTGTAACTCGGATGTCTTCTTTAGTTTCTTGTCTTTTAATTTTCCAATGTAAACCATGTTATCTTCAAATTTCAAGAAATGAAATCAATATTTCATCGTTCATCTTTCTTTATTCTTTCTGATTTTGTTTTTTTTTCTTTTTTTTTCTTCTTTCAGTTCTAATAATGCGGCTTTAAATAACATGACATGCTTGCAGACTTCATGCCCAGATCCATACATGCTATCTAATTGTGACATAATGAACCAGGAACCGGAATACAATGAAGAGGAGGCTTTTAGGGAAATAAAACGAGAATTGGAACAATTTGAGAATAAACCTAAGACGAACTTAAATGATACTGAACCGGTTAATTTGGGTAGTTCTGAAGAAGTCAAAGAAACCAAGATAAGCATTTTCACAGGCGAAAAAACTCGAGACGCATTAATCCAACTCTTGCTTGAGTTCAAAGATGTGTTTGCTTGGTCATACGATGACATGTTAGGGCTAAGTGTTGATTTGGTGGTTCACAAGTTTCCAACATACCCCGATTGTCCCCCAGTCCAGCAAAAGCAAAGAAAGTTCAAAACTGATGTTAGTGACAAAATCAAAGAAGAGGTCACGAAGAAGTTGAAAGCAGGGGTGATCCGAGTGGTCCGATACACCACCTGGTTAGCTAATGTAGTTCCAGTGCCAAAGAAAGATGGGAAGACCCGGGTGTGTGTGGATTACAGAGATTAAACAAGGCAAGTCCCAAAGATAACTTCCCTTTGCCAAACATCCATATCCTTGTTGATAATTGCGCCAAGCATGAGATACAGTCCTTCGTGGATTGTTACGCAGGATATTATCAGGTGTTGATGGATGAAGAAGATGCAAAGAAGACAGCTGTTACCACACCGTAGGGTACATACTGTTACAGAGTCATGCCATTTGGTCTCAAGAACGCCGGGGCAACCTATATGAGAGCCATGACAACCATTTTTCATGATATGATGCACCAAGAGATAGAGGTGTATGTGGACGATGTAATCATCAAATCCAAAACCCAGGACGACCACGTTCGGGACTTGAGAAAGGTTTTTGAGCGGTTGCGCAAATATGATTTGAAACTGAACCCAGCCAAATGTGCATTTGGGGTACCATCCGGCAAACTCTTGGGATTCATCGTCAGTCGGAGGGGCATCGAGTTAGACCCAACAAAGATAAAGTCTATTCAAGATTTGCCTCCTCCAAAAACCAAGAAGGATGTTATAAGTCTGTTGGGTAGATTGAACTACATCAGCCGATTCATTGCCCAGCTAACATCCACATGTGAACCCATATTCAAATTGCTGAAGAAAGATGCATCAGTCAAGTGGACAGATGAATGTCAAAGAGCTTTTGATAAAATCAAGGAATATTTGTCAAATCCGCCAGTCTTGGTCCCACCTGAGCCAGAGAGGCCCTTGTTCTTGTACCTAACAGTCTTGGAAAATTCTTTCGGCTGCATCCTCAGGCAATACGATGTGACCGAAAAGAGAGAGCATGCTATTTACTATCTGAACAAGAAGTTCACCAGTTATGAAGCCAAGTACACTTTGTTGGAAAGGACCTGCTGCGCTTTGACTTGGGTCGCTCAGAAGCTGAGGCATTACTTGCAAGCCTACACCACTTACCTCATAACTAGGTTGGATCCTTTAAAATACATATTCCAGAAGCTGATGCCCACTGGGAGGCTAGCAAAGTGGCAGATCCTGCTTACGGAATTCGACATAGTATATGTCACTCGCACGACAATGAAAGCCCAGGCGTTAGCAGACCATTTGGCTGAAAATCCGGTCGATGATGAATACCAGCCTTTGAATACTTACTTCCCAGATGAAGAGGTAAACTCGGTTGAGGCAATATTCGAAGACATCAATGCTTGGAAAATGTTTTCGATGGAGCGGTAAACGCAAAAGGTGTTGGAATTGGAGCAATCTATCAATGCTTGGAAAATGTTTTTCGATGGAGCGGTAAACGCAAAAGGTGTTGGAATTGGAGCAATCTATCAATGCTTGGAAAATGTTTTTCGATGGAGCGGTAAACGCAAAAGGTGTTGGAATTGGGGCAATCTTGATCTCGCCCACCGGCCAGCATTATCCGGCCACAGCTAGGCTCCGGTTTTTCTACACAAACAACACTGCCGAGTACGAAGCTTACATTATGGGTATGAACATAGCAATTGACCAAGATGTCGAAGAACTGGTAATCATAGGAGACTCAGATTTAATTCTCCGGCAAGTTTAGGGAGAATGGGAAACCGAGACGTCAAGATTCCTTATAGGCAACATATGGAAGAACTTGGCAAACGATTCAAGTCAATAGAGTTCAGGTACATTCCTCGCTGCCACAATGAACTAGCTGATGCACTTGCCACTTTAGCCTCAATGCTGCCATACCCAGGCAATGCCCACATTGATCCCTTGGAAATTCAAATTCGGGAAAGGCATGGTTATTGTAACACGGTTGAAACAACACCAAATACCCAACCATGGTATCATGACATCAAAAGGTTTTTAAAAACACAAGAATACCCTGATCAAGCCAATGGAGACTGGAAGAGAACCATTAGGCGGCACGCGAGTGGTTTCTTTTTGAGTGGTGACATCTTGTACAAAAGAACTCCGGATCTCAACTTGTTAAGATGTGTTGACGCAGAGGAGGCTGGAAGAATCATGCATGAGGTACACGCGGGAGTATGTAGACCCCATATGAACGGGTACGTTTTAGCAAAGAAAATCCTTCGAGCAGGCTATTACTGGATAACCATGGAAAAGGACTACTTCAGTTTTATCCGGAAGTGTCATCAGTGTCAGGTGCACAGTGATTTGATTCATGCACCTCCCACAGAACTGCATCCCATGTCAGCACCTTGGCCATTTGTTGCTTGGGGTATGGGCGTCATCGGGCCAATCGAGCCAAAAGCCTCAAATGGGCACCGATTCATACTAGTTGCCATTGACTACTTCACGAAGTGGGTTGAAGCCATCACTCTCAAATCCGTCACC